GCATGTTGTGGTGACTTGACTTCACCTAGCCCCTATTACTAAACCCCAACACCCCAATAAACCAAACCCTGAACCCTAAACACTTTTGAAACTGGGCTTTCTGGCAGCCAGAACCCTGAGCCCTAGACCCCTAAGCCCCAAACCCTGAACACTAAGCCTTGAGGTCCTTGACGGGAACTTGCCAAAGGCAGGAGTGGTGCGCATGGTCTCGAGCCTGGCATCTCCAACGCGTTTCGGAAGGATACCAGATACCGCCTAGGTGCTTTAGTAAATTATGGTATTGTCAGATCATAGCATATATGGTTGGTTTATGTTATATTGTGCTACATATTCATCTATACTCTATTATACTACATGAAATTGTATGATATGCTGTTTTTTATAATTTAAATGTACTGAATCTGAAACTCAAAGTTTGACGACGCCGCCAACTCCTTCAACCATGTGCAACCCGAAGAACCATCAGAGGCCCCCACACGACGATGCTTCGACAAGGCTATTCCTGTTAGGCATCCTGTCCCCGTCTGCATGCGTCTCGCTGCTACTGGGGTTTAGTGGCTTAGGGTCTAGTACCGTCTCCCTGGACACTTTTCTTTCTACTTACTTAATGGCTTCCAGTGCTTGCAACACCCCAAGCTCCTTGCCAAATAGATCCAGCATACCGTATCATACCCTCAATCCAACTCAAAGTCGACAGCCCAGGGACGAAATCCTGCGATGGTCGCATCAGTCACCGATTTCTAGGCCGGCCCTAAACTCCAAACCCTAAATCGTTTCGACACGCGCAGGAGCCTCTGGGGACGCACTGGGCTTCATCTCTGGCGTAGTACAAAGCCTGGGCATGCTTCGGTGGGTGGACTTGGGTTTGGAATTTGGAGGCCAGTGCCTTTCGGGTCACCAAATCACCAAAGCTTCCGGAGATTCGCCGGCTTCTGATGTCTCGACTCGTTCGCAGCACCTAAGGCTTCGGACCTGGGCTTTGTGAGCTGACTATAGTGGTGCCTTACACTGCCGTCGCACTGCATCTCCACGATCGCCTCATCCTGACACCTCTTTCGTCATTTAACTTCGACCCCGCTCTGTCGAGAAAAGCAGACTCCGATCCCTGCGGCTTCGACTCTCAGCTTGGATTGCCTCCCGCCCGTGTCGGACATCGTGTGGCTCAGGGCCGAACCCATGGCCCTCAAACGCTCTCAACGTAGCCTCTTCCGATTCTCAATGCTGATATTCTTATTTGTTTAGTTGTTAGCATTATTATTCTAAAAGTTGTACGATCCTCGCGTCTTCGACTCTCAATTTGGATTGCCTCCCGCCCTTGTCGGACATCGTGTGGCTTAGCGCCGAACCCATTGCTCTCAAACGCTCTCAACGTAGCCTCTTCCGATTCTCAATGCTGATATTCTTATTTCTTTAGTTGTTAGCATTATTATTCTAAAAGTTGTACGATCCTTGCGGCTTCGACTCTCAGCTTGGATTGCCTCCCGCCCTTGTCGGACATCGTGTGGCCTAGGGCCGAACCCATGGCTCTCAAACGCTCAAAACGTAGCCTCTTCCGATTCTCATTGCTGATATTTTTATTTGTTTACAATTGTTAGCATTATTATTCTAAAAGTTGCTCTCACTCATATCAGTGTTACAGTTTTCTTCCTAGTATTATCATCACCATATCATCACCTATCATCTTCATGCGCCCAGCAGCTCAGGTGAGGCCGGGATCGGCGAGTGCGAAGCAAACCTTGCAAGCGCCAGGCCCCACGGTTCTCAAAGAGCTCACGGCTTCCAGAGCTCTGGAGACGATCCCAAGTTCCAGGCTTCTTCGGTGGAGGCAAATCCTGGGCACACTTAAGGACGCTGGGTTGAGGATAATTGTCCTCGCTCAAATTCTGGATCACGCAAATACGAAGCTGGAGTTTCGAGTGATCCACTGCGTGAACTTCGCAGCAGCACAAATGCACCCCCGCCACCATCCCAACACCCTAAAACGTGTCCCGGAGTTGAACCCGAGTCCGCATCCACATCTGCCATCCCGCCTGGTGCACGTCGGCGTGCTGGGACTGCAAGTGTGCGGAATCACGCTTCACCATCGCCCTAGGCTCGAAACCGCCGACCAAGTGTTTGCCAGGATTCCAGGATTGACATCAATCCGATGTGGGTAGCAATCAAACGACACGAAAGCACTGCCCACAAGGCGAATGAGGCCTCCTTACCAATATCTCCTAGGATAGTCTGGTATCGTACAAAATCATGTAGAATAATATGATATGAAATGATATCCAGTTAACTTTGAAATACAGTGAAAGATAACATAGAATATGATCTGATATAACATTCTCCGCTCCGCCTAGACTCGGAGACCCCACCACTTACAAGTCCTTTGTGGGCTCAGCCAAGGAGCTCCTTTCAGCCTGGGGCAGGGGCCCGAAATAATGTTGCAATATCAAATCAACTAAGAATAATGATAACAATCTAAGAATAATAATCTGATAATAATAATAATATTGGAAAAAGATCCAATATTGACAATAATAACAAGAGTTGTTATTATGTACTATCTAGCGTAATTTGATATACCACATGGGGCATATAACAACACACTAGATATTATTGCATTCTATTCTGGTTGTGCTGTATGGTACAGTATGGTGTAGTATAGTGCAGTATAGTAGAATATGGTACGGTATAGTATAGTGAGTATATATGGGGATTTCCGAAGATAGGGGACCCTAATATAGTAACCTAGATAAAAGGATCCTTATCATAAGGACCCCAAAATAAGGTACCCCTAATATTCGGAAACTCCCATATGTATAACGGCCCCAGGGTCTGACCGGAAACCGACGACTCAACTCCTTTGCCACTCGGACAGGACTCCGATTCTAAAGCCCTTCCTCTCAGACCCGTGCTTGCAAGCACGATAGACTGTTTTTGAAATATAAACTTCAAACCACAATAAGAGTACGACCCCATAATTTCAAAGCACACTCCTCCATTAAGCTCTCTGGGTGCCAGGTTAAGCGGCTTGTGCCCAGATGCTGATGGCACGAGGACGTCTGCACTGGCTCCCGGCTACTGAGAACCCAGCTTGAGCTGCACGGGGGTTTGGGACTTAGGTTGCAGAAGCGTTTGGGCGAAACTTAAGCAGCAATAAATCCTGCAGTAACGATCCTAACTCCCTTGCAGGCCATAACCCTCCTGTCAAGCATGGCCCGAGATTCATTCTGAACATAGCTGTTGAGGCCACCAGACAAACAGATACCTCCGAGAAGCAGGTACGAGGATGCAGCCACAGTTGGGTACGTGAGGTTTCTGGGCTACCAACAAAGCTTGGAACGGAAGTGTTCCCACTCTTGTTGCACATACACGTGACTGTTGGGATTCCGCTGCCGTTGTACTTTCCGCTGTACTTTCCGTCTGGGCTGGCACGAAGTCGGGACTGGGTCCTCCACGACTAGGGCTTGAGGAGGGTTTATACCTTAGGGTTTATAGGGATTAGAGTTTCGAGGTTTACGGCTTGGAGGGCTTGCTTGGCGCCAGCCAGAACACAGCTCGTTTTCCTCCCCGTCCTGCCGCTGTCACTTAACATCCCCCGGTCGGTAAGGGGCATGGGCCGACGCTTGAAATTTGTCGGTGCCAAGCGTGCGACAAGCAGAAAGCTGGATGCGTTTGGGGCTTGGCGCCGCGCCTTTGAGCGCGCAGGCGTACTAATGCTTCTGGCATTATTCCGAACAGAACTGTGAAGAGCTGCGGAATGTCCTGCCTGATATTAGACTCATTGTACTCGCGACACCTGGCCTCATCTTCTAGTCATCGCCTGCGGCGTAGCTCAGTGCTGGCAAAGACCCGTCTGCTCTTGAAACTTGGGGCCCCGGTCATCCCTCCTGCAATCTTTAGGCAGTGCTTCTTGCAGGATGTCCAGGGCCGGGGCGGCCTGGAGAAAGAGGCCCTCAACTGTACAGACTCGCGGAAAAGGCGAGTGCAAAATTGCTCGAAGCCCTAATGAAGCAGCGAGATCTTCGATGGCTGTACACTGACCTCTCGTACTGCTTCCCTTCAAAGCTTAAGGCTGAGAGTGTGGAGCTTGCGGGAAGATGTCCTCCGCAAACTCGGGGTGCAACCTGTCATCTTGTTAGAAGTTAGAAAAAAATCTTTTTTGCTGTCGTATCGATCTGAATTGCGCCTGCTTGACATATGTTGGCAAAACACGGCAAAACTACAACGGTCAAAGACTTCATACATGGAAGCAGAGAGCAGCTCCGAAAGCTCTGGCATCCTGTACTCCTGCCGAGTGACGCAAAAAACCTTCCAACACACAAGCTCGAAGCTGCCCTAGACAGCCCAGGCAGTGCCATGCTGAGCTTGGAACTGCTCCAGCAGCAGTATGAGCTCTGTCTTTTCGGTGATGCCTGCCCATGGACAGAGCTGCGAGCCTGCCTCGACAAGCGCCAAGCCTACACCGAAACCCACTTGCCACCATAGTCGAAAGCACGCAGCGCCAGAGCGAGCAAGCCAAGAACAGCTGCCCCAAACTTGCTCGCTATGCTGCAGCCCAGCATGCGTCAGAAGCCTGCAGCCTACCTCTGTAAACACCGCTACCCGAGTACTGCTGCGGTCCAGTCCGTGCCATCCCGTAGTGCCTTTGAGGTCAGCACCCAAAGCCGTGAGCCATGCCTCGTCAAGCAGAGCATTCTATCGACTGCGGCGCTTTAGGGTTTAGGATGGTTCGGACTGGCAGGTCTCACATGACAAGCCATAGGAATGTGAAAGCAGAACGCAGCAACAACCCAGCACAAACATGTAAGACACCCATAGGCAAGCTTGATTCCCTGAGTCTGTCAAAAAAGTCTAGCAGCGCCCCTCCTCGCATCAAGTACAAACGAAACTAGCCTTTCACATTCGGCAACTCACATCCAAAGCAGAGGGCTCCTTTTGTTGCGAGCATACCTCGCTTGTGCAGTTCTGGACCTCTTCTTGCCCAAATCATAAGACCCTGAATCGGCCAATCACTCTGCCAACGCGGTGTAGTTGTCCCACTGGATGCCGAGAAGACTTAGTTGGGGCACAAGCTCCTCAACACGAGTCCAGGACAGCTGCTGCACGGATCTCTCGAAGCACCTGGCCAGCATTGGCCCCTTCGTGGCGCAGGCCTGCATTGATTCTTGTGGGCGGCGCAAATACCGAACGAGCTCCTTCTCTGACAGGCGAGCCTTCGACCTCCACCACCGCACTTCGCAGTCTCCTCGCACAGCCGCAGCGAGTATCAATGCCTGGGCTGACCACAGGGCCTCGTCTTCCAAACGTTGCCGCTCCGCCTTCTCCGCAGTCAAGACTGCCTCCTGTGTCGACAGCTTCTCCATGTCTTGGCGTGCTTGCTTGAGAGCCCTCGCCCTGACTCTCCTTGAGTGGTAGTAGTAGGCGAATGCAGTGCTTCCAGCGACCACCGCAACGGCGGCGGTAGCAGTTTGACGAGGGTTTTCAACCATCCAGCGGAGCCCCATTGCGAACATGTACTCACGCCTGTCGCTGGGGGTGCCGAAATGTTGGAGATACCGCGGCATGGCTTCATCGGCAAACCTTCGCATCAGGGTGCCTTTCGCTGCCCAGAAAGCAGTTTCCACTAGACTCAGACGGCCGGCCGGATCCGCAGAATGCTGCAATCGAGCAACATCTGCCTTCCCGATGTCCACCATCGAGGCCGATTGCGGCTGGGACACGTTCAACCGTGTCAGGTCGCGCCCCGTCTGCCAAGCTGGCTGCTGCTTTCCTGCTTGACCAACAAGCACACTGCCATGTCGCAAAGCGGCGGACACGGCTGCCAATTTCAGAAGTGCCAAGACTCGCCAGGCTGACATTGGGAGGAGCAAAGGGGTCCTAAGAATATGGAAGACCTAAGTTGCACAGACGATGGCTGCGGCTCGAGCCAAAAGCTTAAGATGGTTTAGGGCTTAGGATCTTGGAGGCTGGAAATAGTCTGCTGGCTTGCACAAAAAGAAATAGACAAGTATCAAATCATGGGGTGTTGACGAGATTGGGCTGGATCTCAGCCCGTCAACTTGTGGCGGACATAGGAGCCTCAATTTGGGAATAGAGTCTTGGCGTACTATATACGTTATACTGTGACAGTAAATGATTAAAACAACAATCAGGAACAGGGACAGCATTACTTGATCTTGATATTGCTAGTATTTCATGCTTCATCAAGCTTCAATATTCCTGAGGGTGACATGCCTGAGCCCAACCGAAGTTTGAAGGCCTTCAGGTCCTTCACAGGAACTTGCCAGAGGCAAGCGTGGTGCGCATGGTCTCGGGCCTGCGATCTCCAGGATGTTGGAAAAAGATCCCCGCATTCACGGCTTGACGTGCATCGACGATCTGAGTTATTCGCTACATTGCCCTTGGGGTCTTGTGCACGCCTCAGGGGATGCGCTGCGCTTCATCTCCGGCGTGGAGAGCCTGCACTTCGCCACCAAGTTGCCCGTAACGCTGAAGGTGTCGGAAGACCCGACAAGAATTGGCAGCTGCAGGAAGAACTGTCTGAAACAGAAAGACAAACACAAGCCTCAAGCTCCTTTTTTTGACGTTGCAAACTTGTATCTACGCTGGAGCCTGGGGCTCCATGCTGAGGAGCGAATGTGTCCGAGCAAGATCTACTGCCACAATTCCACAGCAATGAGTTATAGTTTGTTTCCATCCGAAGCCCTGCTCAGCAAAGCAATCTAGAAGGCTACAGTAGAGGTAGCTTGATAATCAGGTCGGATCCACGCATTCCGGGCCGCTCTCTCAGCTTGATCACAGCGTGACAACAGTCCAAGTTTCCGGCTTCTTCGGTGGATGCACGTCCTGGACATGGGAATGGGTCTCAGAATCTCGCGGCTGCTGTTCAAGGCTGACGTACTATGCGTACTTGAGCTGGGGTGCACAGGCAGGAGGTTCGGATTTGTCAATTCAAGGTTATTTGTCCGGATTGCTCCATCCATCCGACCGTCCATTGCACCTCCTGGTGCACGTCGGCGTGCTCAGAATGCAGGTGGGCTGCATCTCGCTTCACCATGGCCTTTGGCTGTCAAGCGTCTGGGTTTTGCACTCAGCTTCTGTGTGACAATGGGGCTTGACAGGCTGTTACAGGCAAGGGCTTCAGGTTTAGGGTTAGAGTCGGGCATATAGGGCTTAGCTTTCAAGTTTTCTCTCCTTGCAGTACCTGGGTCAAGACAAGGCCAACCCTGCATACAATCGCTCTCCTATTGATCCCGGACTTGCTGAATGCCTAGAAACGGAAGGCGAGATGAGACAACCCCAGCCGTTTTCGGGACCTCGTTCCTTCTTGCTTCACGTTTGGTCCGTCTCTGCACTTTGAAAGCCATCGCTCTACTAAACATCATACCTCAGATCCAAAAAAACCCGAGCGTCTCAATCTTCCCAGGTCGAGTAGCTCCTTCGTGCAGAAGCTTGCAGGAATTCAGCAGGGGCGACTGCGAATTGAGCTTGAGCTTACCAGATGGCTCAAACGGGGCACGCAGGATTGCTTAGTCTGTTTTGCCTGGGCCTGACCGCTGAGTCACTGAGGGAGACCATGGAGCCCTGCACATGCGCCATAAGCTAAATCGCAGAGCAGGGCGCAGCCACCAAGTCTGGTCAATACCGAGCCGAGTATCACTGCATGAGTTACCCCCATATCTGCTGCTTCACTAAGGAAGCGCGGAACACATTTACACCGCCCGGAACCCGTCCATTACATGTGATCAAAAGACCAGCAAGCAACCGTCCCCAAGATCCAAACCCTGAACCCATGGCATAAAGCCATGGCGCGTAAGCTTCTTTCCTGCTCTTTGTCCTGTCGTTGTCACTTAACATGTGCCCATTCGGTAATGGGGCGAAGCCGGCGCTTGAAATCTGTCGGTGCTAAGCGTACGACAAGCACTGCACATGGGGTTTCAGAGTACCAAGCGTCCGCTATTTGTTCGGGCCCTTCTCACAGGAACCATGATCTCCTTTTGTCATAATTTCTTTTGACACTTACTACTTGGGGTTGCCAGTTTTCCACGCATGTTCTGAAACTCCCGAGTGCATTGGGGCTGTCTTGGCGCAACACGTGTGAGCATGTCGCCAGGCTAAGATGCTGTGAAGTTTAGCACAGTGGATGTCTAAGGGCCGAAACGCCGAATGACTTCCACCCCCAAACCCACGCATGTTGTGCCGCCTTTGACTGTCCGATAAATCGATGGCAGTACCAAGGCGAAACCTCACCGGTGCGTTGCTCCCAGACATGCCCGTCTGCTATTTAAACATGTGGACCACCTGGTTGTTCAAGGGAGACTGTACACCGTGTACGCCGCCTCAAGGCTGAAACGAGGTGAACTCCCAAGAACACCCCGAGGAAGTCTCCGTGAATGTTGTTGGGCACTGGTGGCTGTGTCCCCATTGGGCCCCTTCCGGGAAAGGCACCAAACTTCTGTACATTGAAAGCATGGCCTTGCGCACAATCCGGAAGCTGTTGTTGAATTCCGAATGGAGTTTGCTGCTTCAGGGCTGAACTGTTTATTGCTACCCTCAGACGTCCATTTGTTTCTGACTTGAGGAATGCATGAAGCTGATTCATTCCAAAATGCCTGGCATGTGCGCAAAACTCAGAGCTCAAACGGCGGAACGCTCTGCGCGGCGGGCGCTGGGCTCAGCCTCACGTTGCCATGAGCACAGGGAATGCTGCTTCCAGGTATGTCTGCATGTACCCATGGACTGCTTGATAAGTCAGTGCCTGAGTCTATACAACGGAACAATACCTCATTTTGGAGTCGGTCCTTCAGGGCAAAACAAAGCAAAGCCCTGGAGGTGAACCTCAAACTCCAAACTCTGCCGGAGCAGCTGTTCCAGCATCAAGATCAACTCCGTCTTTTCCTGGGAACCAGGACAAGAACAAGCAAGTCAAAGCTGAAACTCCCCATGCCTTAACCTCGCTGCTGTCACATACCGTGAGCTTAGAGCGTAGACAAGGCTCGGTGACACCCGTGATGCTGCTGCCTTGGGACTCCAGCCGCGCCTGAGACATGGGAAGTGGATCCGTTTGGCCCATGACATACGGTTAGGTTTGCTGTCACCCAACTCTGCACGCCAGAAGGATCCTGGCTGCGGCGGCAAAACTCTGCCACAAAGGCTCCTGCACTGCTAAAAACATCGCCTGCAGCAGCAACAACCTTGTCCACATCTCAAGAAGCCGAGCCTTCAACTCCTTGATAGGCAGCTGCCATAGGTCGGAATGATGAGCGTGGTCCCGCGCCTAGCGCACTTCCAAACAAACCGAGCTCAACCTCGCAGTGGCCCGTGGCGCACTACTTTGTTGCGTTCATTTGTAGCATCGAGTTGGGTCCGCCGTCTTCGAACGGCAAAGCTTGCGGGATTCTCCGACATGTTGTCTCTCTCTCTCTCTCTCTCTCGCTGTCTCCCGAACCCACTCTTGCCCAGATCAAAAACCTGAGAGGATCCTACACAATTTGTTGAACCCCTTGCTAAGGCCGAGACCATGTGACGCAAAAGCGACATGCTAAACATAAGGATAATGCTCCGTACGGTTTAACGACATCAATCCCCAAGATTGCTGCAGTTTAACATAAACCCCTTCAGCCCATTCCCGAAAACAAATTGCGTTTTAAAGCTATTTAACCAAGGTATTATTTATGGAGGTGTTACGGTGCTCCATGCTTACTTGGAGCCTTCGGGCAACTGCCGGCTTGCCTCGGGAGAAGTGCTCGGGCCCATCTCCGGTGTGGACGCGGCGGTCGACGCTTCATCTGCGAACCTTGTCTACTGGGTTGTGCACAGATAGAAGCTCATGGAGGGTTTACACATCCAGAATCGCATACACAACAAGCATTAAAATGTGTATGTGTGGTGTACGTGTATGCATGCACGCATGTATGTATGTATGTATGTATGTATGTATGTATGTATGTATGTATGTTTGTATGTATGTAAGCATGTACCACACACACACACACTCATATATATATATATATAACACTAAAACATGAAGTTACATACATAAATGAACACACGCACAAAGACAAACACACATACATGTATATATATATATACATATGTATATAATCCCTCTCTCTGTTCTCTCCCAGGCATAAGGCCCCCCGGGCGTGCAGCCCGCCGGCTTGTTGCAGGCTTTTAGGGCTGCAATATACATATATGTATATACTTCCCTACCTACATATATATATATATATATACCTACCTACCTACCTACCTACCTAGCTATCTATCTAGCTATCTACTTACCTACCTAGCTAGCTAGCTATCTTCTTCTTCCATAGGGCATGGGGGACGGTTAAGATCCCCCGGCCACATGGGTCCCCCATTTGTTATGGGGATATCTATCTCTCTCTCTCTCCCTGTCGCTCTCTCGTTCTCTCCCTCTCTTTCTCTCTTTCTCTCTTTCTCGCTCTCTCGCTCTCTCTCTCTCTCTCTGACCCACCCCGCTCACTCTCGTCGTCAGGATGTCGAGTCTCACACTTAGTAGAAAGGCACCATCTATCCATATGTGCGTCCTAGTACACATGCATGGATGGATGTGTGGCGTGGCACGGGCAATTAGAACTAGCCACGAGGGGCAAGGGCTTTGAATCAACCCATCTCAGTTATCACAACTCTCATCTCCTCGCCGATCGATTTCGTACATGCAGCCCAAAACAAGCCCATGCTAACATAAAGCGGCACTGCAGATTCTGAGTGCGAGTCTTCTTTGCTGGTGGCGCCTGAAGTGGCTGTCGATTGTGTCTCGGGGTACAGGCGGCACAGGCCTCGGAGCCTCGAAAATTGTCCGGCAAAGCGTTGGGTCTCTGTGTCCTAAAGTGCCGGTGCAACATTTTTCGTGCCCGGCAACTCGCTACGACGACGACGACGACGACGCCTACTACTACTACTACTACGACTACTACTACTACTGCTACTACCACGACTGCTCTTCCAGTAGATGTCTGACTAGTCCTTCTTGCAGCTAGGACTCCTTAATGCCAGGCAAGCTGCCAGAGACTGCTTAGCAGGCCCGATACTGCTACTTGCCCTAAACCCTAAAACAGCAAACCAAAAAATAGTGATTATGTGAATTAGTAGTACGTCTACAAAAAAAGTAGTTAATAGTGGGGGTTAGTATTATTGTGGTAGTAGGAGGAGTTGTAGTATAGTAGTAATAGTAGTAGTAGTAGTAGTAGTAGTAGTAGTAGCAGTAGTAGCAGTAGTAGCAGAAGCAGAAGCAGAAGCAGAAGCAGAAGCAGTAGCAGTAGCAGTAGCAGTAGCAGTAGTAGTAGTAGTAGTAGTAGTAGTAGTAGCAGCAGTTGCAGTAGCAGTAGAAGTAGAAGTAGAAGTAGAAGTAGTAGTAGAAGTAGTAGTAGTAGTAGTAGTAGTAGTAGTAGTAGTAGTAGCAATAGTAGTAGTCGCAGTAGTAGTAGTAGCAGCAGTAGTAGTAGTAGTAGTAGTAGTAGCAATAGTAGTAGTCGCAGTAGTAGTAGTAGTAGTAGTAGTAGTAGTAGTGGTGGTCGTAATAGCAGTAGTCAGCAGCAGCAGCAGCAGCAGCAGCAATTGAAGTAGTCGTCGTAGCAAACAGCCGCTGAGAGCTACGGAGCTTCCACCCACGAGCCTGGCCGTTCTCCTCAGCGGGCTCGGCATCGGCAGGGCGCTTCATTGCCTTCAGTTGCAAGCCAGTGCTTAGGGTTGGGAGTTTCCACTGGCAGCTCGAGCTCGACACATGCCTCTTGCAACCTGCACAGCCTGAAACAGATCAATTTCTCACACAAACACACATCCTGCAGATGCCGAGCCTCCACGCGATAGGAAGTTCGTCCGGCGGCTGGCGTGAACTTCTCGCAGGCTCCGGCCAGAGAGGCTTGAGTGATGAATGGCTTGGGACACCGGCATGTCTTGGGAAGGGGGTGGATAATGAAGAGTCCCTGAAGGAGACTGCTTGACCACCATGCAAAGTCGGTATGAGCCATGGGCTTGTTTCACTCTACCAGAAGGTAGGCAATAGCGTTTCGCTAGATGACTTATGCTGATGAGGTGAGACCCCTTTCGGCAAATTTTCCTTCCGCGTCGCCATCACCATACAGAGGGTCCAAGATCTTGAAAAACCGTCCTCTCACAAGACCTCCGTTCTTCCTGCAGGGTTTCTGCCGAGCCAGGCCGTTGGCCAAATATGATAGAGTATATAGGGTTAAAGACACCTAGGCTAGGGTCATGAAGACCCAGGAAGCAGAAACTGGGAGACCCTTGCCGGTTTACAGTTTGTTTTTGCATTGCTACATGGCAGCACTCAGGCTTCGTCCGCAGGCACTCGCCACTTCGCGAGGAAGTTGTCCTTGTCGTTGTCCTCGGAGCCAGCTAGATACGAGTAGCCTTTTTTGCATATCTACCCTGACAGACACTAAACATCCCTAGACGAGAAAGGCCTGTATGCAACTGGCTGCTAGATCAAAAGCCATGTGTATCCTATTTACTGTAATTGCCAAGAAAACCGCGATGGGAATCTATCACGATATGCTCGGTCCTTGATGCGACACCAGACACAGT